AGAGAGAGAGAGAGAGAGAGAGAGAGAGAGAGAGAGAGAGAGAGAGAGAGAGAGAGAGAGAGAAGGCAGGGGACTGTGCCAAGCTGTCCATTATGTGACTCTGCCACGTGGTACTTCGTTTCTTCTTTGCCTTATTCCTTCCAGGAAATGTTCCAAGATGCACGCCCGGCATTATGGCTCTCATGTCAATGCTACTACCGACAAGTCCCCCACCCGAAGAGCAACTGCCAAGCAGAYTGAATGCTGATTGTTTCATTCATACAATGCAAAACCTGCTTAACATCAGTGGCACTCCTATAGTTGGAGGCGACTTCCAACAACTTCCCCGGGCCAATCATCAATGACATCATCCGAGCCCACCAAACTGAGACTCACCCACACGCTTATGCACTTGCACACATAGCGTCAAAACTCAACAAGCAAGCACGGGGCATACATACATGCAAGACCACTTGATTACAGCCATATTCAGAGAACACAGCAAACAAAGTCTGAATCTGAATCTTTAGCAAAAACATCAATGGGACAACGGACAGGATTTTCTCAGAAAAGTTCAGATTTCTTACACAACACAAAACTAAAACGATGCTGCAAAGGTAACGGCTCCCCAAACAAAACAAAAAAAAAAGGTTCCGTTCATATTCCCTCCTATCTTCTTGCACGCGGGTTTTTGTCTGCTCTCAGGCTCTTCTTTTTCTTATTGTGAAAGAAGTGGCATATGATAGGGCAGTTCCTTATGGTTTTTCTTTCGTTTGTGCTTTTTTCTTTTCTGTTTTTGCAGGCGAAGCCGCAACGGGTCATCTAGTTCGTTTTATAACTCCAAAACAGAGGCATACCGGGAGTACGTATGTTTGATGTGCACATTGCTCATGTACTATGTGTTTACTCGTACAATGTTTGTTTCATAATTCCACGACTCCAACAGGGATTTATAGTCATTTGGTACTGCTCGGCTGTGTGTGTGACGTTGTGTGTGTTATGATGTTATCACATATACGTGCGTTGATGTGCGCAGTGCCCACGTGTCATGTGTATCACACACTATTTGATGTGTGCAATGCCCACGTACTAATGTCTGTACGCTATGTGTGTGCACTGTGTGCATGCTGTGTCCATACGTACTCTGTGTAAACTGTATGCACTATGCATTAGGTGACAATAGACACACTTATTATGTGTGTGCCTGTAGTGTTTACACAATTCGGTGGAGACCAGGGTCTACCTGTAGGCACACAATGCATCCTGTATATATCCTGTTTTTCTGTATGGACTAAGCAAACTCTAATGCATAGAACATACGGCATAATGCATAGTACATACTGACTATCCAAACTGTAATGCATAGTACATTCTACACAGTACATGCGCAGTACAGCACACAGCATTTGTTGTGCAATAACTTCAATGCATAGTGCCATGGTGCACATATGGCCTATGCAAACTGTAATCAATAGTACATACTACACAGTACATACATAGTATAGCACACAGCATTAACTGTGCAAAACCTTTAACGCAGAGAACATCATACTGCATAATGCATAGTACATATGGACTATCCAAACTGTAATGCATAGTACAGTCAACACAGTACATGCGCAGTACAGCACACAGCATTGACTCTGCAAAAACCGTTCCTGCATAGTGCCATAGTACATATATGGACTATGCAAACTGTAATGCATAGTACATACTAACACAGTACATGCATAGTATAGCACACATCATTAACTGTGCAAAACCTTTAATGCATAGAACATCATACTGCATAATGCATAGCAC